ATTTGTAGCGATAGATCCTAGATCAGAGTCTCAATGCAAACATTACTGGGGATGCAACGACATTCATTGATGAGTCTCATATACGATGAAATGTACATCTTGGATTCCACTGGCAGTCACTATCAACAACGAGTTAACCACTACTTATAATCTTATAACAAGTAATATTTATAAGCTTTTAGAGTAGGATACATCATTCTGTGTTTCAGAGATATATTAAAACTATTCTCGTACCTCATGTACACTATTTACTTTATGTGCAACTCGTGAATAATCTTCATCCAGGCCTCAATGGAAACACAAAATAAGTTGTTTCATTTTCTCCGGGCATACAACAGCATTCATATACAATTTTTCCTTTACAAATTAGGGTAGTTAATAGTTGTCAATATTAACCAATAAATAAAGGGAGTCAAATAACAGTGATAGAGTTGTGCAATGAGGTAAATCATTTAGTGAACTGACTGTAATTATGGTGCACATAGGAACCAAGGAAATGTGGTAATATTTAAGAGTTTGAAGGAATGAAAGCGTTAGTTTAAAAAATTTCCGTGAAAAGCAGGGGATGATTAGAATGATGGTAGAAATTGTTGAATAATTCTATTCCGTGTGTTCAGCTCCAGTTTCTCTACCTGAATGAAAAAGGAAACGGAAGTGTATTGTCTTCCGTAGGTTGTCCTTAATTGTGTAGATTATTTTGAAGGAGTTCGTTGAGATACAGATAATAAATGTTGACAAGGTGTTTAATTATTGTACTCCTTATATAGCCAATTCTACCTTTCTACAACCGTGCGGAATAGTGTTCATTATTTGACCGCTTCTATTATTATGGTAATAATTCTGCTGTTACCTACCAGTTAGATTTTTTCGTCTCCCTTTTAACTCTTTATAACTCTTATGTCTCCCTCGAGCTCTTACGTAGTATCATATTCGCCTTCTTTTCTGTATTCATTAAGTTACCTATCTTATTACATATCTTTAACACCCTTCTTTATCTTCTCTGATATGCTGATTACTATACATAACCGTGGTACAGCGCTAGAATGCTCACCAATGACGCTTGTGGTCAAGTGTTCGATTCTCGGTGGACACACTCCTAAACCTCACTTTGCCGGTAATAAGACCGGTAAAACAGAGCGAATTTTGAGCATGTGGCTAGTAACCCCATCTCGTAAAATTAAACTCCTCTGCTACCGAAACTTAAAAACTCTAGATTGAAGCCCTAGGCTCCACTAAGAATACAAAGCAATAAAATAACGTCTTTCGAAAGAACAAAGAATATTCCTTTCGATGACCTGTTTTTCATCAGGTTCTACAGTTATATATACACATTATAGTTAATGAATGAATTAGTGTTATTAAGAACACTAATGTTGTTTAAATAATACTGAGCTATTAGTAATAATATGAACGGATTACAGTTGGACAGCATCAACACAACAATACACACTGAATATCAGAAAAATTAGGAAAGATGATCATAATACAAATTCGTGAATCTACAGTCTCCACTGAAGGTCAACCAGAGCAATAGGAGTGGCTGGAATTTCTTCTTTTGCACACAAAGCACTGGTTGTTTCAGACGATTCGCGATAGCCTCAGCTGTTTCCAGTATACGTCCCTGGATGACTTTGGAACCTTATTTCATACCCGATAGCTGATGATAGAGAAGGGTTCTCCAATGCTGCCTTTGTGGCCGGTTTGGACCAGGTGGTCTAATGTCGAACTGTTGATGGTTTTTACTCCACCTATATTTAACCACAATGGTAGGTGTCCCTCAGTGAGCAGGAAAAATCAAGTCCCAGTAGAAACGGCCAACATAACTCTCTCCACCGCAAGAGCAGTTGAATTGATAGATAGAATTAGAAGTGGCTACTCTGGGTACTTCATCTTTCATTTGGGAGGAATCACAACCGATCGTGTAGAAAATATGACTTGTGGTTTACCAGCATTAAAAGTTCTTTGAAAGGATTTTCTTAACTTGCTAGTAATTATTTCAAAACATGCGTCATCCTTGAACTGCAGTGATATATATAAAGGCTGTTATAGTGCATGAATATTAAGGAAATTTCCAGTAGTTAGTTTGTAGGGATTTGATTTGTGTCAAGTTTGGTGATAGATTGGTGTCGGTTAGAGAAAAGTTCAAAACCACCAGGGAGTACTGATCGGCTGCTTCGTCCTGCTTCATAACTCTTCAGCACTACTCACCCAATGGAACACACTTCATTCGTTCCTCTTACATTAATAGCATTACAGGGTTAATTAATTAAGTGGACCCTTGAGTACATAGAGTTTAATAAGGTTTGCAAATTATTTAATATTAAAAAGACATTCAGTAGCTTGCATATCTATAAGCACATGATAAAAATACACGGTTGTTGATATGCTTTCAGGGCTGTGACCTGTTATTTTAGTCACCAAAGTAATAATACACTGTACGTGTAGTGCAGCACCCAATCTACTAAGAGCAACTGTGATGCTTATAGGCACTTCGGAACGATAGCCTTTCATCACAAACTACACATCTGTTTCTAAAAACACACTCAAACTGATATACATAGTTAGAAGTATGGAGGGTAGGCGACTGGTGTTTTCCAAGCTGCTGTCAATCCCCGACACTTCAGACTAATTACAGTATATTGAGTGTTTTCGTGGAGGTAAATACATTAGCCTTATGGAAGGGCAGTCAGCTCATCTCGTGATGGAGTACTTCATCTAGTCAGTTAAAAGAGCCGAAGCAAAGGTACAAAAAAGGTTCAATGATGAAGCATCTTATAGCCTACGGACAGGATGTTGGCGCTGTCAAATTATTTATTATTATCTCCAGACAAACAAGTAGAAAGATGCCTGCAACTGCGGTGGCCCACGTAATCAGAGCTTATAAACAGAACGAAATGGTGATCGCATTGCAACTATTACGGTAATATCTTTTGCTAAATAACTGTTATTATTCATACTAATATTTTATTCCATTCATTATTATTACTATTATTAACTCAATCGAAACTCTTTCAACAATCCTTTTATTCGACTTGATTTCACTGCCGATGTTTACTTTGCGAATTTCAACATTTTCAAGTCTTTTCTGTGGTGATTAATGGTTTATTATACTGATGCAATCCATATGTAATCCATTAGTCTTAGTTTTTATCTGTTGTACTTCTTCCAGGTAACCTATCTCAAAATGTTCTTTAAAGCATTCATACTTGTTGTTTTGTGTGATTATTTAAATGTAGTTCGTTTATCACTAACAGGTCTCCTAACTTATGTCCAACAGTATATATATATATATATATATATCACTATGTAGACCTGTCAAATGATGAACAGTGATACAATAGATACATTGATGATTAAAATATGATGAAACTACGGAAAGCTTAAGGGATCACCTGTTTCACTTGTCTAGACAGCATTCTTTCGAATTCGGGTAGCACATATTAAGATGTCGGAAGTAGGCATGGAAAAGAAAAACAGGTATTCATTAATCTGCACTCAGCATAAAGGATAAGATTCAGATTTTTAGCTCTGGTGTCAAGTTATTGCTTCCATCTGGTTTAGAGACTTGGTGCGTGCGTCACCAGAATCATTTCCCATAGTCTGCTACCGACTGTCGTCAACAGTCTCTTTCGCCATGTCGATACGCAAGATCAGATAACAAGAAAATACAAGCGACGAGGGACGCTGGTAACTAACAAACCGAGAAACTGTCGTCCATAAAATATGCATTGGGAAATAGGGATAAACTGGACAGTCAACGCTAGAGGGACTGTTGAGTGATATCAGACATCAATACCTCGAGTGGAACCTGAATGGGAAAAGACTAGTTGGACGTTGGTCGGAGAGTGACACGGAACCATACCGAGAAGGAAATGAAAGATTTTGAGTGACCATAGAGCCAGATAAACAACACTGCAGAGAAGGCGGTAAAGTAAAGGTGTGTCTGCGAGGTCTAATTTTTCACTCTGAACCGAAAATAATAATAATGACAATAAGATTATTGCGATGTCTATGCGTCAATAAGATCTTCGGAGAGATTTAATGTTTTATAACTTTTTGAAGTTCCATAAAAAGAGATAGAATATATTGTGACATTAGTTTGAGCTACAAACAATAAGGGTATGATCACCTTTACTTAATTTACTCTGACAGCCTAATTGAAAATGTTTTCATTTCATTTTGCTAGAAGGTGAGTGGCGGTAGAGAAGTGTACGAGCTAAGTAGTCTATAACGGACCTGAACATTCTGCACCCACATTCAGATTTATTTCATTGAAGTCAGTTATTTTTCTAAATAAAAAAACTATTCAAAGATTTTACAGACAAGAGCTTTTTTAAAGTGTACGCTCAACACCAAGCGCTGAAGAAACATCAGGCAGAAGAATCGTAAAAAATGTCAGAAGCATATGAAAATTGTCGGATTCTGAACCGAAATTATCGAAGTATCTTTAGCCTAATTTCTTACCTATGGATTTTAAGTTTCGGGTTAGCCTGACATGTAGTCGGAATGAAGGCCTTGACGGTAAGCTCCAATTAATACAAGCAGTGAACAATACAATCGAATACTGAGTACTCTATGTGCTGTGCATAACATGTCAAAAAACTGCAAAAATAAGTCACACACGATTTCCTGGAAACCCTGCGCAAAGCTCGAGTGAAACCTATCAACATAAATGGATGAAGTCATCGTGGGAACTGGGCCTAGTTTCGAAGACTATTAATAAAACTAAAACTCCAATAAAATATTATTGTTTGTGATTGAAAGTAGTAGAAGTAGTTCTTTAGGTAAGCAATATTTTCGGTTGTCTACGAGTTTACCAAGGCACATACAATGTCAGCTATTTACAAATCAGCATGAATTAGATTTTGGATTTACTAACACTAATTAGTGTTAGTAAATCCAAAATAAGTCGACGTTTAAATGTCGACTTATCCGCTAAAATCTCCTTAAAAACGTCATTAATAAAATATGAACAGAATAATTATTAAAATAAAACTCACTCTGTCCTAGGAGATACTTTAAAGTTATTCCTTTACTATTAATACAACGCTTCGAGCGGATATGTATCACACCGCCACTCAAATTCGTTGTCGTGATACTTTTTGAAGGGCATTTATTGGATGATTAAAACCGTAGTTTCAGGATTGAAAATCAAAACAAATAATAATGTTTTTTATTAGCTTGTTACTGTCGACTGGTGATATTGAGAACGTAGAATTTGGGTTTACATTGTCCAGTATCCAACATCGTTTTTACGAGCTAGTATGAACCAATTTTATTTCTTTGTGCTCGCCTCTTGATTATGAGGTATGGGTTCCTGACCTTCGGTAAACTTCTGCGTAGCTAGACCCGCCACTCGACTGTCGTAGCTTTGGTTGACTCCAAAGGGAGTAGTGCTGGGATTAATTATATGTGATTTGTAGTATAAGGTGTGTTAAGACTGTTACTACTGTGAATAGAGTTGATCCTTTCACCAGTTTGGCCACCGGTATCGTCGTCAAAAGAAGAGAGATGATAATAATAATAGATATAATTAGTGAACTTATTCAGATTAACAGACAGAGAAAGAAATAAGAAAACGTAACAACAGTCAGCTGATTAAATTTGAAGAAAAATATGAATTATATATACATTATATATATACAAAATCCCTACAAAAACAATACTTGAAAATATACATGTATGTCGGTAATAATGATAACAATAATGATCAGCATGGTTAAAGTTTTCAGGGGAGTAAGACGGGATAGAATGTAAAGAAGCAAAACGACAAGTTTAATTGTCTACCCCTGAATGATATATGCGATTTAAGGGGATAGGCCACTTGGATGCAGTCCTCGTGTCGCTACATGGTTGTCCACATACGGTGCCATAGTTACATCTGCCGGTAAGGAATTCTAGAAACGGCAAATCAGCGGGGAGAAGTGGGAGCGCACCCGGGTCCTTGACCTCTGGTGAGCTATCCTTCTGGGATTTCCACGAAGGAGCCCATACTGACTCAATGGCAGAACACCTTTGTTTGGATGATTCCAACCATTTGTTACCTTGTAGGCAGTAACTGAAACCCCCCCTAAGACATCGGTAGCTAAGTATGGACAGGCCTAATTTCTTCAGCCTTTCCGCATATGGTTTATTTCGGAGACCAACCACTCCTTTTCTCGCCCGTCGTTGGACTCTTTTCAAGAGGTTGGCGTCTCTTCTAAGCAGTGGAGGTGCAATAACATTATGCACCTCAAGGTGTGGTCCGACGTATGTATTTTACAACCTTAGAAAGAGCTCAGGAGTGAGTGCACCTAACTGTCTATGTGTAGAGTTTATGACAGCATATGCCCTCGCTACATCATCCGTGTAATTTACGCATGTGCCAATTTTTCCGTTAGAACTAGACCTAAGTCGCGCTCTGACGTTGTGCAGGACAAGCTTTCATTGCACAGGGTGTAACTTGCATTCTACAGTCCACAGGTGCGGAAAATCTTCTTGTAGCCTACATGAGTACTCCGGACACTTTGTCGCCCTCCATATCTTTACGTCGTCAGCGTATAGAAGAGTCGAGCAGCTTAGACGGCATCGTAGACCATTGATAAAAATCAAAAACATCGGTGGTCCTAGGACAGAACCCTGCGACACTCCTGATGACGAGCTGTGCCAAAATGATCGGACTCGGTTAACCTCAGTGCGAAATTGCCTTTCAGCTAGGTAGTCCTTTAACCATGACAGAAATGGCTTACCTATACCTGCCTGTCCTATTTTGTGTAGGTGAAGTTCATGGTGAACAGTATCAAACGCCTTCCCAAAGTCTACGAAGACCACATGGAATGGAACATTCATATCCCAGCATGATGTTCGATCGTCTCAAGCTGACAGTAGGTTAGTAACGCAGGATCTGCCTTTCCTGAAGCAGTGTTGGGCTTTATGGAATATATAACACCCATTGAATTATTCCCTGATGTGGTCGTCAATAATACTTTCCAGTACTTTTGACACCGCCGGGGGTAGAGCTACTGGTCTATAACTAGTGGCATTTTGCCTATCCCCACGTTTGAAGATCGGAGAAGGGATGGCTCTTTTCCACTCCCTTGGCAGTTTCCCGAATCCATTGAGTGTTGGAACAAGTCGCACAGGCTTCCGCGCACTGTTTCAAAACAGATGGCCTGATGTCGCCACAACCTGGGGACTTCCCAGGTGTGAGTCGCTGTAGCTTCCTTATTACTATTGCGGGGTTAACTTGGGGAGTATCGGCTAGGTCTTCCTCCTATGAAATAGTAGTGCCACCATTGCGGTCCGTAACGGTAATACCCACATTCCTGTTTAGCTGTTTGGCGAATGCTAAACCAAATGTTTCAACTATCCTTAGACTAGTGAGTGTTTGGGCCTACTAAGGCGCATTCCCCCTAGCTGGTTGGTTTTCTTTCCGGCATGAATCGATACAAGTTTTCGGGGTTTGCTGGGAGTTTTCTAGCAAGGTTAGCCTGGAGTGACCTCCTGTCCCTCCTGACTCTTGCATTGCACCGGTTCCTGAGTTCCAGGCACGCATCATGTTCGTTTTGACTCTTAGATACGCGCCACGTAGACCAAGCCTTCCGCTTTGCTTGCAGAATAGTTTGCGTGCCTCTCTTCAACCATGATAACTTTCTTTTGGGCTGTATTGTGACTAAATAGACGGTTCCGAGATTACTGTATGAATAATATTTTTTACCACCTCCCAGTGCTCATCCACAAATAGCTCATTCCATGCTAAGGGCCAGTCTACTTCGGACAAGAGCCTCCGCATTTCAGTATAGTCAGCCTTGCTGTAACACAGGCATGGTCGCGTGATGTCCCACTGCAAATGCTCATAGAGAACGAGATCGAAACCTATGACTGCATGGTCACTACTTCCTACAAGAGTCATGATCTGGACATTTTCGACGAGTAGTTGGTCACTAGTTAGATTACAGTCTAGTTTTGATGACTTTCCACTAGGGCTCCACCTAGTGTCGTCTCCAACATTCTCAGTCAGTCCCGTGTTTCGAATGGTTCGCAGTAGATTTTGGCCAAATTTTCCCTAAGCATACGCCGAGTCAAAGTTCAGTGATGGGGCATTGAAATCTCCAGCTATGGTGATTAGGTCATAGCCCAAGTTTCGTATCCCTGTGATACTGCTGAGCAGTAGCTGATTGTGCTTTGCCCCACAGATGAGAGATCGGTGGATGCCACCCAGTAAATGCTAGGTGTGGCCTACGGTGAAATGACGCCATATGGAGTCTGAGAGTTCAATAAGTGGTGGGTCCGCTGCGCGCACACATTTAAGTTGCCTATGAAAGTATATAGCAACTCCCCCTCCTTCCTTATTATCCCTGTCTCTCCTGACCAGAAGCATATCACCTATACTGATTTCGTTGTCGACGATAGTGAGGGTTACCCACATTTCAGTGAGAATGATCATTTTCAGTCGAAGGTGTGCTTGGTGATTTCGGAGTTCACCTACTTTTCCACTCAGCCCTCTCACAGTGCTATATAGGCAGCTGACAGTGCGTCTCACAACCTCAGTGTGTTGTGGGGTAGTTGACGTGAAGCTATCTTCTGGTAGGTGATTTAATAGTGAGACTAGTTGGCCGATTCCGATGGAACTGGCCTGTTGTAGTTTTTTCAATGGATTTAGGCAGGACACTTGGGTGAAGCAGACTGTCATTCTCAGAATTGCATCACCCTAGCGTCACTGGAGCCTGGGAACGTGTTAAGGCCTCATTTTGCTGCATCCTTATGGCTTGGGGTCTGCTTTTGCATCATCGGATGTGTCTTCCCATTTTTCCCTTGGTCTCATACCACCGTTGAAGTGCTATGGTTAACTGCTCTGGGGAGTTGAATAATAATAAGAAGAATGTGACACTTAGCAGCTTTGGAGGGATAATCAGTGTTAGATGGGCGGGGCGAGGTAGTCGGAAAACGGAGATGGCTCCAGAAGCGCCAGGGGCTACCTGAGATGACAGCGATCTCCATTGCTGTACATCATGCACGTGTTTTCACAGGCAGTCCCCGTTTCCAGCTACGGAACACCGTGTACCATTATAGAGGTAGAAGGCATCAGTCCCGTTGTTCAAGCAAGCTATCCTTGCTCACAGGTACGTGAAAGAGGATAAGAGAATTAGACCTACTAACCTCGGACTTAGGTTTGGCCTTTGACTTGTTGTATTCCTTTGCAGCGTCAGCAACTTAAGGCTTCATCAGGTTCTGGCCAGCCTTTGTTGTGTTTCCAAGCTTGCAAGTGGATGCAAGTGGTGCATTTGTAATTCTATCTTCCTCTGATGTGGGTGTAACCTTCTGAAAATTGGCATTTCCAGTCAGTGGGACTGGTGTGTCCTTCTTACTGTCTGTGCCAAGTTTTGGCAGCGTGATGTTAGCAGGTGGGGAGCTGCATGAGACCGTGTTGGGACACAAGAGCGGCGTGTTTTTTCTGCTATCTGCAGACACGCTAAGTGGGACTATGCCAGGGCGACAAAGTGGACAGATGTACCAAAACCATGGACATGGGTTATTTCTCGTAAACTCATAGTATGCTCTCGGCACCCCTTTGTCACAACCGAAGTGCACCCATCGTTTGCAAAAATTGCATTCAAACGCTGAGTCAGCTTTAGAAACTATGATACTGCACGCCTGATATTCATCTCCTTTCCTTGATGACGCCTTCGAGGTCTTATGACGTCTTGAACGTTTCCTTTTATGTTTGCTGTGTTTAACAAACTGGCTTTCAGTTGATGCACGTGTAGTATCCTGTCCCCCTGGTATTGCCTGTGCAGTTTCAGTACTAGACTGTGGGAATGCAGGCGCAGTATCAGGACAGATGAGACCTACACGAGTCTTTAGCATCGGTATGCGGGAAGGGGTTGAAGTCCCTGGGTTTTTGCCTTCTCTGGCTGAAGCCCTTGTGACTACAGAGTATTGTGTTTTAGTGCCTTTTCTGAGGCTAATTCTACAGCCATATTAACAATCACTGTGACTCATGCTATACAGGAATAAGAGTGCGACAGTATCTACTCACAAAACAAGAATAAGAGTGAAAAAGTAGAAGACAAGGAAAAGAAATGGTTTTCTACTTTACCTTGTACTTTCTGGATGATCGGCTTCACAGCAATCACGTGGTGGACCAACAAGTCTTGTTTATCTAAACGAGTGAGGAAGATGCTGCTACAGAAATGGCACTTGAAGCTTTGGCAGTAGTTCGAGACAGCCGGACTCACCATACAGAGATTCAGTATGTAAGTAATAGT